AAAAGAAAAGAAAAGAAAAGAGAAAATCTAGGGGAGATAATCACTTTAAAGGAATTTACTTTACACTAGCTCTATTCAAGCATATCTGACTAGACACCAATCGTGAGCCAATACAAGAGAGCTCAGAGGGGGACCTCACCTAATGTGCATGATGCAATAGTACGTTTCAAAACTATTAAGAAATGAGTATAATTGTGATGGATGTGTTACTTCCATTGAATGTAAGCATTTCACATTGTATATCAAAGCAGTACCCTGAACCCCATAAATGCATCATTGTATAAAGTTGTGATTTAATTAAAAAAATAATAATAATAAAGAGAAAGCTTAGGAGGAGCTGAGGAGAAGCTCAAGAGGAGGAGAAGAGGAGGAGATGAAGAAGTGGACAGACACTGGATTCCATTCATTGTGTGGGTTAAGAGCCTGAATATTATGAGACAGGAACAACATACCTGAAAGTCTCTGACTTGTGGAAAGAATTTTGCTTTCTATAAGAGAGAAAAGCAACTAGGGTGATAAGACACATTGGTCGTAAAAGGTAAAAAAGGAAACAGTTCAGGAAAGAATAGGAAGATCACTTGGTAACTCCCTATAGGCAGATAAATAATAGTTATTATCTATTTCTCTTATAATCATTAATCCTCCTTTTTACAAATAAGGTAATTGAGATTCAAAGAGAAATGATTCACCTAAGATCATACAGATAAACTTAAAAACTGATCTCAAGTTATGGACCCCAAACAGAGACTGCCAAATATAATATTTAAAATTGAGTTATCAGAAATACAGCATTAGCAACTAAAAGCCAAAGCTCACTAAAAAGAAAGAAATTACCCTTACCTGCAGGGCACTGTTGAGGAAGCAGCTATTTTGCCCTGGCTCATTGCTGAGGCCTTTGCTGGGGGCTATGGAGGTTGAGCTTCGAGGTGCAAACATCCCTTGGACACTACCACGGCCCCCTGAAAAATAATTTCTCTTCCAAGACATTATTATTCACACTTAACCCAAAAACACAGCAAAAGTTTTGTCTCTTTTTGGCAGGAAATTTCTGTCTACTGAGTTCTCAAAATAAAAACAATCCAGAATTTAGTGAATTTATGCTGAAAGACTTTGAGTTTAATGCCTTTCAAACATCATATATGTAGCTCAAGGGACTCAAGATATCCCCTTAGATCCAGATGACAGAGCCATCTCTCACTTGTTCCAAACGAAACCTGTGCTGTGTTACACACACAGGACTAATGCAGACAGAGAAATCCTTAAGTATTGCTTCCTTCTATTTTTCTTGAACTGCGTCCAGAAAGTCCTGGTGAAGTGGATTGAATCCTCAATGCCAACAGCATCCAGGATCAAGGTAAGATGTGTTCTTCAGTCTTGTTAATAATGCTTTTTGTGGACTGAAGATTTTTCCAGTTGGAAGGAGATGTAGACAGATAAGCAGGAATCCAACATAAATTTCCTTGACCGCTATTGCCTTGTCCCATCATCCTCTGTAATAAAAATTCAAGTTCTGAACAACTGAGAAAGATTCCACAGAGCAAAGAAGTTTGTTTGAATTATCTGAGGTTTTTGTGGCTGCTTTTTAACATGCCCCAAACTTCTAGCGTTCCATCCAGATCTTTGGAAAGTCTCTTCTCTTTTCTTCTGGGACTAGAATAGCCAGCTGTGTCAGAGAGCTTTAACAGAAAGAAAAAAAAAAGTCAAAAGCTTGCGTCACTTAATGACTCTACTGGCTTTGCACTGTTCTGCCAAGATCAACCTTGCCTCACCTCTCACTGTAAACTTGAAACCCTGGCAAACAATGCCAAAAAAGAAAAACACTATAACAACAACAAAAAAAGAGAAACACTCCTCAAACTAGACAGGCAAAAAAAACCAAAAAGGGTATGAGTACTTTATTTTCAGAGAAAACGTTTCTGAAATTTTCTTGAAGGAGAAGAAAGTTGATATAGAGAGAAATAAAAATAAAATACAAACTTTTAACCAAAGAAAAATCACCAAGTATACTTATACCAAACTACAAATTGAAACAGTTTCTTTTGGATGTTCTGAATAAAGGACTTTTTAAAAGGTGTTTTCTATTTGTATGGTTATGAAAACCTGCTTAAAAGGTAGAAGGGCCAAATTAGCAATCTATACTCAGTTCTGAGTAAAGATGTCCCATCCCGGAAAAACACTGATGGCGAGTAACCCGCATGTCCTTAACATCTAGTCCAAGAAAACTAAATTTTCTCCTGCCCTGTTTGTTTATTTGTTTGATTTTTTTCCAGATGATCAGAAGGATAATGTGGGTTACAAATCACTTAATCCTCAGATTATATCCAAGGGGGTCACAATCAGAGGTGATCCATTGACCAACTTTAGTTTTCAACTAATTAAAATGCCAGTGAGGCAACAGGGAGTAATATCAAAGCAAACACCTTCCCTGGAAGAAAAGCACATAATCTCCAACTTTAAGTTTTCCTATAAACTGCCACGTCCACATAAGGAAAAATTAAGACTGGTAAGTGCTAAATTTGGTTTCCAACAGTTCCTTCAACTTCTCTCTTCCAGCCATCATACACACCACCTAAAAAAAGCAAAATGCTTTAACATCTTAATCATTCTTGGGGAGATCACCTAGCAATACCCACAGTGTATCCAGTGGAAAAACTGAGGCACAGGAATATTAAGTGGTTGCACAAGAGTGTTCTTTCCCTTCTCTAAATTCCCAGACTATTTATAATCTACATGTCACAAATTAAGGTATCTGATTATACATTATACTGCCATATTATTCTCAGCTTTTATTATTCTCTGTTTATATGGTATCTGCCATAAATCTTGACTACGGCTACCTGAAATGAAATAGCAACTAGTGTCAGGCATGTGCTAAACATTATACTTAACATTCTTTATTAAATCTTCATAAGAGCCCTATCAGGTAAGTATTAATGGTTCCATTTTACAAAAAAAATAAAGAGGCTTAGAGACATTAACTTGTCCCTTCAAAGATGGTAAGTGGCAGAGCTAGAATTGTTTGACTATTACACTGTGATTTAATCATGTATTTTATTATTGTATTCCAAAAGCTCCTATCACAATGGTAGTTATAAGAATGTACTCAGTAAATACTGCCTGATAATTAAACATGATACTAGGAAGAAACCCAAATCTCCCACACTGACTGCAAGACCCTCACTTCTCTAGATATACCCTCATGTACACTTGAGGCCACTAAGCAATTTCCAATAAACCCTTCAGCATTCCTACAGCTCAACTGCTACAAAGGAATGACAAGTACCAAGCCTCCACTTTGCTCATAGCCAAAAGGACTTGGCAGACAGGTGGAGTTTCCGATATCCACATTAGGAGCTTAGTGAAACTCAGGCTGCCCTGTGCCTGAGTCCCTGTACATAGAACAAAGGGAGAAAAAGCCCGTAGCAGAAAAAAGATTCTCAGGCTCTGAATGGCAGCATTATGTAGGGTAAAGCAATAAGTTCTCACACCTGCTCTAGGTGTATCAGGAACTGGAGGTGAAAGCCAAAAAGAACAAGACATCCAGCAGTAACAAAATCTCTCACCTAAGTTATAGGTCCAGCATCAAACAACATAATCCTTCTCCAGTGCCACCTACTGAAGATGTGTGAAAAAGAAAATCTTTTTTTTTTCTTTTTTAGACGGAGTCTCAAGCTATCCCCCTGGGTAGAGTGCCATGGCATCACAATTCACAGCAACCTCCAACTCCTGGGCTCAAGCGAGTCTCCTGCCTCTGCCTCCCAAGTAGCTGGGACCACAGGCGCCCGCCACAACGCCTGGCCATTTTTTGGTTGCAACCATCATTGTTGTTTGGCGGGCCCGGGCTAGGGATTCGAACCCGCCACCTTAGGTGTATGTGGCTGGTGCCTTAGCCGCTTGAGCCACAGACGCCGAGCCAGAAAATCTTAATTCTATCTATATGGTTCCACTGTCTCACCTGTTATTTAAAAGAATTTTTTTTTTTTTTGAAACACTTTCAAAGTGTCACTTTCACCCTGGGTAGAGTACCTTGGCATCACAGCTCACAACAACCTCAAACTCTTGGGCTCAAGAGATCTTCTTGCCTCAGCCTCCCAAGAGGCTGGGACTACAGGCACCCATCACCATGCCCAGCTAATATTTCTATTTCTTTAGTATTTTTTAGTACTATTATTTAGTATTTTTTTCTATTTTTTAGAGACAGGACCTTGCTCTTGCTCAGGCTGGTCTTGAACTCCGGAGCTCAAGCAATCCACCCGCCTTGGCCTCCCAGAGTGCTAGGATTACAGACAGGCATGAGCCACTCTGCCTAGCTAAGATAAAGAATTTCTTTTTTATTTAGACGGAGTCTCAAGCTATCCCCCTGGGTAGAGTGCCATGGCATCACAGCTCACAGCAACCTCCAACTCCTGGGCTCAAGCGAGTCTCCTGCCTCCGCCTCCCAAGTAGCTGGGACTACAGGTGCCCGCCACAACGCCCGGTTTTGGTTGCAGCCATCATTGTTGTTTGGCGGGCCTGAGCTGGGCATTCGAACCCGCCACCTTAGGTGTATGTGGCTGGCGCCTTAGCCGCCTGAGCCACAGGCGCCGAGCCAAGATAAATAATTTCTTGGCAACACTGCAATATTTCAGTGTAAAAGGACATAATGTCTACCACTTACACTCAAATGGTTCAAAAGAAAAAAAAACTACCTATATGTATACTATATAAACACAGTCATATACTGCATTAAGATTTTAGTCAACAATAGATATACAACAGTGGTCCCATAAGATTATAATGAAGCTGAAAAATTCCTATCACCCAGTGATGTGGCAGCCATCTTAAAGTCACAGTACAACACATTACTGATATGTTGGTGATATCAGTATAAACAAACTGGTATAAACAAACCTATTGTGCTACCAGTTGTATAAAAGTATACCACAGTTGTGCATAGTATATAATACTTGATAATAAACAACTATGTTACTGTTTGGTGTCTTTACCATACTTCCTATAATTATTTTAGAGTATGCTTCTTCTATGTATAAAAAAAGTGTTAACTGGGCTCAGCGCCCATAGCTCGGCAGCTAGGGTGCCAGCCACATACACCGGAGCCGGCGGGTTCTAATCCAGCCCAGGCCAACTACAACTTAAAAACAGCTGGGTGTTGTAGCAGGCACCTGTAGTTCCAGATACTTGGGAGGCTAAAGTGAGAGAACTGCTTAAGCCCAAGAGTTTGAGATTGCTATGAGCTATGATGCCACAGCACTCTACTGAGGGTGACATAGTGAGACTCTGTCTCAAAAAAAAAAAAAAGTACTAACTGTAAAAGAGCCTCAGGCAGATCCTTTATGAGATATTCCAGAAGGCATTATTATCATTATCATATATGACAGCTGCATGTGTGTTATTGCCCCTGAAGATCTTACAGTGAGATAAGATGTAGAGGTAGAAGACAGTAATATTGATGATTCTGACACTGTGTAGGTCTGGGCTAATTTATGTATTTGTGTCTTAGTTTTTGTTTGTTTTTTTAGATATAGGTCTTGCTTTCTTGCCCAGGCTGGAGTACTGTAGTACAATCATAGCACACTGCAGCTTCAAACCACTGGCCTCAAGTGACCCTCCCACCTTAGCCTCCTATGTAGCTGGGTCTACAGGAACTTGCCACTGTACCTGGCTAATTTTATTTTGTAGAAATGGGGTCTTACTATGTTGCCTGAGCTGGTTTCAAACCCCTAGCCTTCCTTCTTGGCCTCCTGTACCTAGCCTGTGCTTCACTTTCTAACAAAAAAGTCTAGAAAGTAAAAATTTAAAAAATTTAAAAATAGAAAAAAGCTTATAAAATAAGGATATAAAAAAAGAATTTTTTTTCAGTTATACAACATATTTGCATTTTAGGTTTAGTGTTAGTAGAAGAGTCAAAATTTTAGCCAGGTTTTGTAGTGGGTGCCAGTAGTCCCAGCTACTTGGGAGGCTGAGGCAAGAGAATTGCTTAAGCCCAAGAGTTGGAGGTTGCTGTAAGCTGTGATGCCATGGCACTCTACCGAGGGTGACAAAGTAAGACTCTGTCTCAATAAATAAATTAATTAATTAAATAAAATAAAAAATATAAAAAATTAAAGGGTCAAAAATTTTTAAAGAAATTAATAGTTAGCCAGATGCTATAGTTCACACCTATAATCCTAGCATTCTGAGAAGCTGAGGTGAGATGATCCCTTGATCTCAGAACTTTGAGACCAGCCTGACCAAGGGCACTACCCCATCTCTACTAAAATGTAGAAAAACTAGCCAGTGGCATGGGGCACCTATAGTCTTAGCTACTCAATAGGCTGATGCAGGAGAATCACTTGAACCCAGGAGTTTAAGGTTGCTGTGAGCTAGGCTGATGCCACAGCACTCTAGCCTAGGCAACAGAGTGGGACTCTGTCTCAAAAAAAAAAAAAAATTA